ACAACTACAAATATATAAGTAAATTAGTTATGTAGGTATATTAGTTACTGTAGATCATAAAATGTGTGAGCCGTTCTGAGTTCAAGTTGTTGCTTGTATATTCTAGTTCATATAATTTCTGCTTCAACTGTGATTATTAGGCTTTCTTTGATGTTGACATAATACATTTATCACATGCTTTGGGGGCAAAATAAATCACATGGAAGTTTCTGAGCTTTTCCAATTTAATCTTGAATTATTTTTAGAGTGACATGATAATACTCATTTTGAAGAAAAAAGAGGTACCAAGGGGGTGTAAGAGATGACAACCTTAAAAATCATTTACAATTGCTCAAACTGAGAATGTGAAAGATGGCTCATTTTCAGTTGCTCAAAATGATTGAGAGAGTCTTCGTTTCAAATGCCGTGTAATAAGGGAATGATTTTGGCTCTGTTTGGTAGAGTTTTTGAAATTTAATTCTACCCCTTAGTTTGAGTGTGTTGTTTGGTTACAGTTTTAGAAAATTAATTCCACGCTCACTTTTCAAAACACTCTTCAAAACACACACTTTTCAATATTATATGTCACATCACTCAATTCAAACTCTTTTTAAAACTCATAATCAATCAAATTTTCTACACTCAAATCCTAATTCCAAAACTCACAAACTTAAAATACAACTCTATTCTCAAATCATAATTCTAAAGCTCTACCAAACGCAACCTTTGTTTTCGATTAAATACATTTTAAAATACAAACGAGTTTGGCATTTCTGGTAAACTTTGATGAGCTTAATATCAAGGTAACTGAACTTTAGAAACATAAATTGTAGTCAGTAGGGTTGATTTTGTTGCCTCTCTGCCAACAAATTACATCTGCATTTCTGTTGAGATTTTTTTTGATAACCGGGAACTCTGTCCTAGGCAGGGTCCTTTGGGCCCACCCCAGGAGCGTAAACCCTAGGATCAAGCGACACCCACGAATCGCATGATCTGGCCAAATGGGAGGGGCTGAAGGAGTCAAACCTGAGTTAGGCATGTGAGGAGCAAACCCACTGCCAACTAGGCTATCCCCTCGGGTTCTGTTAAGAGGGTTTAGACTGTTAGAAGAGCTACAATGCAGATGTGTTATTATTGGTTCCATGTGGTTACACCAAACAATGTCTTCATTTAAAGTTGCAAATAGTTACTTTTTGTATGTGCAACGAAATGATGCCTCAGTTCATCTTTTTCATCGACTGGCAATTTGTCTTTTGCAGGAAGGGATGGCGTACGACTTGATTGTTGGCACCACGAAAATCGTCACTGGCCATACCTTAACCGAAACATTCATTGAAAACTTGGGATGACTTTTGCAAAGATTCGTCTCTTTCATCGACAAATTTTGTGGCTATACCTTGTGGCTATACCAGTGCCATTTTTGATTGTTTCCTGAGTGACTTCTCTTCTTGTTTTTTTCAGTACAAGTTGGTGTTGTACAAAAGCAAATTGGTAGCTCTATTCGTTCTTTTGGAGGAGTGTGTCCGGTTTGTACTTATTGTGTATATGTTTGGTTTACATTGAATCGGGTGGTGCTGTCTTTTTAACTTTCTTTAGTGCCACGGACTAAATTTCTTCGCCCATTCATTGCATTCACTTGTTGAACTGCAGCATTCTCAGATTTGATTTGGTCTTTATTCTCTAATGTTCTAAAGATTGAATGCTAGGATTGTACTTTCCCAGAGTCTAAAACAGAGCTCTAATTTTTCTCTCTGAAAATCACATGTACCTTTCTCTTTTCCTTTATGTTTTGGATCTTGGATTTTTAGGATGGAAATGGAAAGAAAAAGGGAAATCTGTGTGGATTTTTTTGACACTTTTGGTAGGCACTACTAATGATAACATTGCAATTAATGCTGGGTTTTTGGATCATGAATTTGAATAAAAATTTGAAAATGAGATTCTCATTGAGAGGTTAGAAATTTTGATTATATTTACTTGGCAGGCCTTCTTGCCTTTGTGTTATGTTTGTCAAAAATTTGTTCTGTGATTGTAGTATTAATGTGTTGGACCTCTTTTTATGCTCGGCACTCCGCTTGTTTTGGTGAAAAATATTTTAAACATTTATTGGTGTTTGATATAACAAAAAATGAAAGTTAATAAAAAATGTTGTTGTGGTGAATAAAAAACACAAATTTCTTTGGATGGAAAAAAGTCATTTTTTTGAAAGATATAAAATATTTTTTGAATGAAATTTTACCACTGCCATCACCACCAATCTGTTCTTGTTTTCAAATCTGTCAGATGTCTTGGTTTTCAAAGTTGGTGAAACAATTTGTTGAACTTCTGGACTCGTGACCATTTATTTTTTTTTTTTGGTGAAAAAAAAAAAAACAAAAAATCTTGTAGGCTTTGAACTAATGAGATTACTAATGGGGGGTACAAGATTGACCCTATGATCCTCTATAAAGGTCAAGGTTCAAAATGATAATTATCATCTTATCACCCCTCATTTCTTGTGCTTACCCAACTAACAAAGATATTTTTTTCCATCAATAGCACGCCATGACAACACCGACTTACCTACCAAAGAGGCATACTCTTAAATTCACAAACCTAATTTGAGAAAAAAAACAAGATCCTGTGAAACACTCGAGTACCCTCTTGAACATCGATCCAATTTTCAAACCAATTGTGTTTAAACTCTAAATCCTATCCCACTCAAAGGTTATCCCACTCAAAGGTTTAAAAATAAATGAGACAAGGGTAGTCTAATACTGTGTTTGGTTGGAAGATTTGGAAAGAGATTTGAATAAGAAAAGAGAAAAAGTGTGTGAAACTATGTGAAATATAGGTAAACACAGAGTAAGTGGTAAGGACCCTTTTTAAATACAAGATTTGGATTTTGAGTCTCGTTGCTTCCATTTCCTGAAGTAGATTGTAGAATTGTGTTGTAAATACTAAAACCTTCTCAAAAAAATAAAAATAAAATAAAATAAAATAAAATAAAAATTTAGTAATAATAAATTTACCATTCCAAAATTATACTTAGTAATTCCGAATTGTATCACATAATTATTATTTAGTAAAAGAAAATTTGAAGTTGAAATTAGGGATGCTTGCGGTTTGGTTGTAGCCGGGAAATCTTTAATTCGCTATCTATTTGCCGGATTGACAAATTGGAAAAAAATCAATCCGCATTCGTCTGCCAGATTAGTGGATGCGGATTAAGCAGATTGACAGTTTGACGGACAGATGTGAATTAGTTTGGCAGTTTAAACTTTTACAAATTTTGAACATAATACAACTTTTCAACAATTTTTTTTTTTTTTTTTATAACAATCAAACTCAAGATAATCAAGAGATTATCAAATAAATTGTCAAATACCAATAATAAATACATATAAGAAAATCATACATTATCAAAACTATTTCATTACTTTTTTTTTATTCAAAAACTATTTAATTTGATTTTTTTTAAAAAAATGACAAAATCAAACCTTATATTTTTCACACAAAAATACCAAATATCACCACTTGCCATTTGATAAAAGGATTTTCAAAGTGAAAACACAACAGAATATTTAAACTCTTTTTTAATTAAAAACACAAATAAAATATCTAAACAAATTGAAAACACAAAGTCTTACAAATTATTAGGGGTACTCTAGGTTTGATAGTTCAGTTGTGGCCAAAGGAAACTCAAATCCGCCATCCGTCCAAAACTAGACGGATTGGAAAAAAAAATAAATCCGCAACCGTCTCTGTTCGTCATTACACATCTGTCTAAAATGCGACGGATTGGTTTGGTTTGATCAGTTTGGACGGATCGGAATATCCGCTGAGAACTCCTAGTTAAAACTTGGGAGATTTGGTCAAAACTCTTTCATAATAAAACTTTAATGTATTAAGGATAAATACAAAAAGTTTTTTCTTGAAAGTTCAACACATATCATTATTATCAAAATATTAAATTTTAAAATAATATAACTTTTGATATAGATGTCGATTTTTAATAAAATTAATATTTTTAAAATTCTCTCATCAAAATCTATCAAATAAAATCCGTGTTGACTATGAAATTCTTTAAAAAAAAAAAATATTACCGTCGAAATTAATGTAAATAGTAACAGTAATGTTATTCTGTTTGATATGTTACTCTGTCTGATAGTAACATGGTACTCTGATTTACAGTAATATGTTACTTTGGTTCACAGTAACATGTCACTTTGACAATATTGTCCAAAAAAAAAAAAAGAATATATTTTACTTTGTCCTTACTTAATTATAGCCTCCGTTTGGGAAGTGGGTTGGCTTTTTGGCTTTTTGGCTATTTTAGCCTGGGCTATTTTAGCCTGGTTTGGGAAGGGCTTTTTGGCTTTTTGGCTTTTTTGGCTTTTTTTGTGAGAGAGGATTGTAATGATTATGGGTTGGATTTGATGTTTTGTTTTTTGTGGCTAAAATAGCCTATTTTGTTTTTTGTGGCTATTTTAGCCAAAAAAGCCTGGGCTTTTTCTTGCCAAACGGAGTGTTTTCTCCTTAAGGGATTTATAAAGCAAAACAAATTAGACTGTCATTTTCACTAAACAAGGGTGTAATGGAAGAGTTTTGACCAAATTTCTCTTAAATTTTTTAAAAATAGTAGGAAGTGGAGTAAAATTAAAAAAATAAATAAAAATGAATAATATTTCCAAATAAGTAACTGTTAGATTTATAGAAGTCTTTAAGTAAAACAAAGAAATACATAATGTACTGTATTAACAACATTGATCTTCCCTAATTCTGACCAAATTCTAAAATTAATCCAACAATCAAACTTACCTAAGCACTAGATAATTTTTAATGTTTTGACTTTGTTACCCTCCTAACTAGTTGACATATAATCATGTGCCACTAAAGCATGTGACATTTTAATTTAAAGTATAATTACATCTTTTGACCAAATCACTAATTTCAAGCACAAGAAAGTACATGTCGCAAAAAAAAAAAAAAAAATATATATATATATATATATGTATTGTTTTTCTTTCATTAGGCTCATCTTCACAACAATACAAAAACAATTCTGTTATTCCGAAACCAGCTTGAAAATTAACAAAAGTAATGCAGTACCTGGCTGCAGAAGACCTAATCTAGGTAATAATAAACAGAAATTTCTCACTTTCAATGGAGATTTTTTCACTTCCTCATAATGTCTTACACATACCATGTCAAACACTACTCACAGAGCATTTTCTACTTCAAACACATTCAAGCTATCAAAATACCCACTTCCACCATATATATATATATCCTTCTGTACAGAAAAAAAGCCCATAAATCCCTAATCTTCTGGTACAACGTTCCGTTATCTACTATAAATTACGTAATTTTAATAATATAGGCCTGAAAACATTTCACCTGAACTTTATGGTTCCGTTACAACGTCAGCTCGTTGGAGGAGTTCTAGAACACTTGCTGCTTTTCTCTTAGCCCTATCGGTGCCATTCTCCGAAAGTTCTTTCAATGTCTCTTCTACCCCGAGCTCCTTTGCTATTTTCAAGTACTCCACATCACCTGTACACAATGACCATAAAACAGCGGCAGCATTCTCACGGTTACGCGGCGAACCAGTCCTTATCACCTCCACCAAAACCGGGACTGGCTCGGTCTGACCAATTGCGATTTTCCCTTCTTGATGGGTCGCCAGTATGGCAAGTAGCGCTAGTGCCTCATCCTCCATTCCACCCCCGGCGTCTTTGAGGAACCCCATCAGTGGTGCTACAATCCCCGCCCTCACAGCCCTCACTTTGTTACCTTGATAGATCGAAAGATTAAAAATAGCTGTGGCAGCGTCCTTCTTTCCTCTTGGAGTCCCCTGACAGAGCAAATCAATAAGAGCCGGGATAGCCCCAGCGGCTCCAATTGCTACCTTGTTCTCATCTAAAACCGATAAACTAAAAAGGGTTGCTGCCGCATTTTCTCTTCCTTCCATGCTTCCATTTTTTAAGACATCTACTATATCGGGTACAGCGCCTGCCTTTACAATTGTTCCTTTGTTAGCCTCATTTATGGAAAGGTTGAGCAGTGCTGTAACAGCATGTTCTTGGGTCCGTGAATCGGTGGAGGATAGTAGTTTTACGAGAAGTGGAATAGCTCCCGCCTCGGCAATACATACTCTGTTATCGGCATTTCTCTTTGCCAACAATCGAAGCTCCCCTGCAGCAGCTCTTTGATGTTCTGGATTCCCATTTGCAAGTTTATGAATCAAGGCGTTAATAGCAGCCCGATCACAGTCCGAACCACTGCCTCCCGTTTTCTTGCTTCCACAATTCCCTTGCCTTTTGGGCAACTCAACACCATTGCTCTCACACCACAAAGCAATTAAACTCTTCAAAACATAGTTGGGTGTTAGGGCTGTGTGCAACAGAGTCTGCTGCGTCTTGGGGCACTTCTTGTGCCCTGCATCAAGCCATTTTTGAATGCACGATCTTTCATACGTCTGCAAAACGAAGCAAAAAAAATTGTTGTATGAATAGGCAGCTAATGGCTATCAATGCAAATACAAGCTCAACTGTTAAGGGACTTGTAGTTTATACCTGTCCAGTGGAGACAATAACAGGATCTTTCATCAGTTCAAGAGATATTGGGCACCGGAAGTCATCTGGGATAACAGTAGACCGGTGCTTAATCGAGACCTCTTCAACCTCAGAGGTATCAGTGTCGGGGTTTCCAATCACTACAAAATCCTTGATCTTCTGAAACAGAAATGACGCCTTCTGAAAAGAGTCCCCAGGAGCTGCATCACATGAGATGGCCATATCGTGGATAGCAAGCGACTCTTTCTTCAGATCATTTATAGTCATGAGATGGAGCTTCTCTGAAAGCCTTTTTAATATTGCGGGGTCTAGGTCTTTCTCCTTCTGCGCCAAATCTAAATCCATCTCCAGTAGTAGTTCATGCGTGTCCATTCTTGCTTTAGCTCTTCGGAATTGAGCGTGCACGAGTTCAATCTGAAAGAAATTAAAACATGTAGTACTTGCAGTCAGTAAAAAATAGACAAAAATAAAAGCACGGATAGTTGTGGAATTGTTTTCTACAAAAAACATTATTGGTTCTAAAGTACCTGTTCTCTAACTTCCTCTGACATATCAAGTTTATTATAAGGAATCTGGCTCAATGCTTCTTCAATTTGCTCTGTCACTTGGTGGAAGTCACTGGCAATCTTGTTCAATTTCAGAGCCTGTGACATGGAAAGTACAGCTTACCTTAAACCAAAAACTTAATTAAACAAGAGACTTTGGTTTGCAAGACAATGACATAACATAACCAGAAATGCAAATGGTCAAAGGTTAATTGTTATTATAGATATCAAAAGACCCATAGTCCGTTGAATGTTAAAAAAAAAAGAAACAGAAAATGTAATTCTAAAGCCGAATGCAGACATAAAAATTCTATATCCCTTGGCTTGGCAAAGACATACATTCCAACTACTTAGGGTGGTTATTTTGTTCATAGAGAGTAACAACAGGTTTTGAGATTGCCCTCTAAGTAACCAATATCCGACACACCCAACATCCAACACCTCTCTTACAAAGCTTGATTAAAGTAAAGATGAAGACAATGCAAATCTCCAAGTTCAACAAAAGCCTCAAATTACAATGCCAAAGCGGCCACGAGGAAAATTGCGTAATATACCTGCAGTCTATTCATAAAGCAATTCAACCTTAAAAAAATTACCTCAGAAACTGCATTATACCTGTAGATCATTTGACTAGAAACTGGTTTTCAAATCGAAAAAATACAGCTTGCTTTAAGCTAATCTTGTCTCTCTCTTTTCTCTTTCATTTTTTTATTTTTTTATTTTTAAAGTTTGGTTCAGAATTTCACATAAAGCTTTCAGTTTCCAGGAAACTAGAGGAAAAAGAAAAAACCCAACCTGTGCAATTGAACAAGTCCTAAAACGGTTTTATTAATCATGTTTGGTTCCAATTTTTGAACTCAAATTTTTAGAAAATTGAATTTTTATTTTTCGTATTTTTTAAATTTTTTTTTTTAGTGAGTTTTTTAAAAATATTTCAAGTAATTTTTTTTTTAAATTTTTAAATGCACCTGGCCTATGTATATGTAAATGTACTTAAAAAGTAAAATATTTTTAAAAAAATATTTTTAAAAATTAATAAATACGCTATGATGTCCCAAGCGAGAGCCATGAAACCAAAAATACATATATATATATTTTTATATAGAAAAATATCTACAAATATTATATATTTTAAATGTATTTATATTAAGTGTATTTAAAAATTTAAAAAATTACTTCAAATATTAAAAAATGTTACTGAAAACAAAAAAAAAAAAAAAACGAAAAATTAAGAACTCAATCTTTTTTTAAAAAGGAAATTCTAAAACCAAACAAAGTGATTGTTTATCTTTCTAACAAAGCAAAACAACTAGAACCATGATTTTTTTTTTTAAAGTACAGAAAATCCTCATATTTTCCGCACGTCCAAGTTAATGCCTAAGTCGAGATTATCAAGATGCCCTGTTATTTATTCCGAACTATAACCTGGCACTTGCACTAATCTCTTCATACAAATTCCGCTTAAGTTAAGACTTGCGTAGTGAGGGAGAATCCGACCCACGCCAAGTGCTAGGCCGCCTCCTAACCATGTTGCGCCGCGGTAACTCGAATCATGATGGGTATGTATGGATTTTCTTTCTTCTCCTCTACTACTTTCTCAACAACCAAACAACCACTTTCAGCACCAATCACAATCAAATCAACACAACTACAATCAAAACGAAAAAACAGGAAAAACAAATTAAACAGAATCTAGAAAGTACCTGAAAGAGCTTGCTGCCTTCATTGATAGATCGGAGAAGCTCTCTAGCCGAATCCAAAGCGACCTTCAACGACTCGAAACCTCGAATCTCTTCGGCTCCGAGCTCGTCTTCGCTGTCCTTCAATTCCTCAAACAGAGGGCTCAACAGCTTCACTCTCCGAACCAAATTGTTGTACATCTTCTTCGAGGCGTTCCTGCAATCTGGAAACCCAGAAACATCCCTTATGGCCATAACGAGTTGACTCACCAACGCGTTCTTTGAATCGTCCACAGGACCCATTATTGTTCCCAGCTAGAGCTCTCTAGAAAACCCTTAGAATTGGAGATTTGAAGCCAATTGGGAGATACCTAAATGAGAGAATTGGTCGAATTTTGATGGGTTTTTGTGGGTCGAATTGATTCACCTAAAACTCCTTGGGTGTGAAAAGGTTCTTAGAAGAGAATTGAAGCCCTGAATTTAGGGTTTTTGAGGGTAAGGGAAGAGATCCAGGTGAGAGAATTAAGTGAATTTCAAGGTAGATGACAGAGAAAATGGAGGTGAAGATATGGAGTGCATGTAGAGACGAAGTTGTTCTTATGTGTATACAAAATAAGAAGAAAAGGATGGAGAGAGGGTGAGAGAGAAATTTGAAATTTCATAAAGTTGTTAAAGTCTTGGATTAATTATTAATACAATAATGATTCATCTCACTAAAAATATCACCATTAATAGTACTAATACATTAAAAAAGTAAAAAAAAAAAAATACAACTCTAAGACCAAAATATCACATCATTGATGACGGGACCCACTGCCACCTAATTAGTGGGAGCACTAATTAGTGCTCCCAAGCATTTTTCTTATTAATAATAGAATTTAATTATAAAATAGTTATAAATGTTTCTTTTGTAACAGGAAGCAGGAAGGAAAGAGAAGACAAAGTGACCAAATTAAATAAGTTGGGAGCTTCTACTTGCACCTTAAAAAAAAAGAGTAATGTTAGGTATCATGAAAATTTTTTCATAAAAATAATCATGAAAGATTCATAACCTTTGGATTACACTTAAAATAAAGCACCACACACTAATCAAGGTAATCCAAGGGTCATAAATTTTTCATGATCATTTTCATGAAAGTTTTTTCATGATCCCTAATTTTTCTCAAAAAAAAAAAGAAAAAAGGTTGGGCCTCCCATTGCTTTCAGCACATTAATAATAAATTTGAAATTTATTTCCTATTAGTTTGAGCACTCTAAATAATATCTTTATTTGGCAAATGTTAAAATTTAATTTTTTAAACTAAAATTTACAAAAAGATAAAATAGGTTAAAATAGTCAATAAAATAAAATGTCACATCAAATTCATAATCATTTCTTTTTTTCTTTTAGAAATATCACATTCAACTACAAAAAAATTTAACAATCTTCTTAAACACAAAAATTTTAGTCTACTAAAATAATTAAAAACTAAAATAACTACTAAAATAGCCAATTTTCCAAATAAGGCCAATATCTATTCTAACCCAAAAAATCTTATCCAAATCTACTTTGTACACCCATTACCTATAAACAGAAGAACAATATCAAACCACATTTGCGTTAAAAAAAAAAAAAAAAACCAACTTTGGAATCTCTAGAATTCTAAGCGACGAAAAGAAATTCTGAGTTCATCCGAGATGAAGGTCCCCTACTCAGTGAATCAAAATATATTTGTCCAAATACTTTATTCCGAACCTATGAAATTTGTTCAAATATTCAGTGTCAAATATAAGAAAATTGGTTTCAATTGTTTCATATGGATACTCACTGCCGAACAAAATTTTGTTCGGATACTCAATTCCGAATCAATTAAGAAAATCAACCTACGAAAAATGATGAACAATAATTAAAAACTTACTTTCTCTATAAAAAATTGTTTGGAAACATCTTTTTTATTACCTATTGTTAATTTTAATATAAAATAGAATGTAATAATAATGAATTAAAACAAATAGAGTTGGGTTAAGGTTGTGTATGAAGATGCAAAGTGATAAAAGTAGGAAGAGAAGAGAAAAAAAAAATATTAGGTGGGATGATGAATGGGTTACCCAAAACACTTTTATGTATATATATTTTTTCTTTTCAAAGCCAACTACTTTTTGGTCATTTTGACTAGGGTGCAAATGGAAGCTCGCAAATAATTTTCTTTTTGTTTTCTTTGACTTATTACCTTTTGCATTTTGCAAAGGAAAAGTCTCCTATTATAAAAATTTTATATAATTTTTTCACAATGCCTGTGTGCACATAAGTTATTGGATACAAAATGTATATATATGAGATCAATATTTATAATTATGGATGTGAACATATTCATAATTATAGATGCGGATTTTTTTTTATTTCACATATATGTATTTTGTGTTCGATTCTTTCGTGTATATAGCACGACTCTAAATTTTATGCTCAAAATGTAGTGGTAATAATTTTAAAAAAATTAAGTCACTTTATCAATAAAAAACAATTTTGATAGGTTATTTTACTGATTAATCAATATTTACTATATTATTTTGTATTAATTTTTTTTATATAATAATATTTTATTTATAAAATTATATTGCCTTATAAGTTCATGCCCAAAATGACAATTTAATTTAGATGTATCATTATAAAATATGGTTAATTGTTCTAATCATAATTAGGTGGTGTTTGGCAAGTGGTTTTGGGGTTAAAATAGTCACAAAAAATAAAATAGGTTATTTTAGTCACAACAAACAAAACATCACATCTAACCTATAATCATTACACTCTTCTCTCACAAAAAAAGTCAAAAAATCAAAAAATCCTTCTTAAACCAAACTTTTTAACCCAAGTTAAAATAGTCAAAAAAATCAAAAGGCCAAAAACCAATCCACTTTCCAAACGGAGGCTTATTTACTTTGAAAGGCAAGTTATATGGCAGAATCATCTTTAATTTGTAGCCAATAACATTTTGGGAAATGACTTGATGTAGATAGATAATACATATCCTTGGTGTCCTTCCAAATATCACTTGTTATTTTTTCTTCGTGGTTTGTTGGAAGCCACAAAATAAAATTAAAAATAAAAAATTGAAACGGTTAAGGTTGTTTTTAAAAAAATAATTATACACATATTAATAATCTTATTAAAAATACAAGTGGTCAAATATGTTTGGTTATCAAAAAAAAAAAAAAAATAATAATAATCTTTAAACATCTAATGATATTTGAACATGAATATCTTTTAGTAAGATTGTTAATAAAGTTTTAAATAGATATAACACTGCTCTTTTTTAATAGATATATGCAAGCTTTAAGGCATTCTTCAAGGCATCAAAAGTCTAAAGCTCATAAAACTTATCACTGATTTAATTTTTTTTTTAAAATATGCATTGAAATGTAATTTCTTCTAAAATCTATGCCCCCACCCCATTTTGCTTGTTTGGTACAATTTATATTATAAATTTAAAATTGATAATCAGAGAGTAAGCATTTTTTTCCTAACTTCTAGATAATTTTTTTTTTGAAGTTTAGTTAAATTATTTTTGCTTAATAAGCTATAATAAAAAATTATACCAAATAATTTGATACAAACTCTTAAAATATTTATAAAAAATTAATAATTATAAATTGCATCAAATAATCTCATTATCATCTAATTAACTATAACTTTTTGTTTCTTAAAATAATTTTTGAGATTGGTGTCAAAACAAAACAAAGTTTGGTTTGATTTTCATAATCAATTTTTTTTTTTTTTTAAAAAAAAAAGTAATTTGGAGAAAAAATAAAAAATACTTATTATTTTTGTATAGTTTTATCTTTTGGGAAAATAGAAATAATTTTTAAAATTTTAAAAATATATTTTTGATATTTAGTTTTATCAAATTAATTTTTATTTTTTCAAAAAAAATTCTAAAACTAATTTATTGAAAAATAAACAAAAACAGTGGCCACGGTTATTTTTTATCCGAATTGTGTTCAATTCTAAGAAAGAAAACGAATTTACTAAAATATTTTTCATTTTTGTACGATTATCATTATATTAATAGTAGTATATATATATATTTACAATTACCTATTCATTTCTGTAACGCCCTCAAAATAATAACATTAAACCCATCAATATAGACATACATTTATATACAAAAGAACCACATTCTTCAATTCATCAGAGTACTTCATTACAAAAGTATTACATGTTAACAACAAAAGCAAATGCCTTACGGGCTTACAGTTTTCCATGTTAACACTTGGTTACAAAAAAGAGTACTTACTCAATTACATATTAAGCCCTTGGCTTGAATTTACATGTAATACATCAAAAGAAATAAGACAACAAAAGTGTGTCCGCCTCTAGCCTCCCAAGCTATGTCCTTGGAGGTGGCATGCTACCTGTACCTGAAAATGATGTTCCCATATAGGGTGAGCCACAGCCCAGCAGAGATATACCAAACCAACTATGAACAATGACTAAAAGATTAGCAATTGATAGATGGCCAACACTGATACATCCACATATATCACGTCACAATTTCATAACATATGAGTCTATGTCACTTCTCATTTTCCATCTTTATTTAATAGATAAGCATATTAGCTATATCAACACATCAACAGATAAGCATATTACACATCAACAAATAAGTATATTAGCTGTATCCACACTTCACTAGACAAGCATATGAGCTGTATCTAAACTTCTCAAAGATAAGCCTATGAGCTGTATCTTCACTTCTCTAGACAAGCATATGAGCTGTATCTACGGAGTACATCCCCCATCTCCTCCTCTACACACAATGCATATAAACACAAATGTTCTATACACAATCAATCAATACATAAAATTTAATGTCTTTTATCCGCCGTCATACTCTATGACGCATTCAATCGATTAGTTTTAATTTGCCTAATCATCATGCATTGTCTACAACAATCAAGACTATCCTCCACCGATAGCCCAAAGCAGTTATTTCTAAACAGAAAATAAATGCACCAAATGGATATTAAATCAACATTTCAATTAGGTGAGCGATAAACGATCCAACTACACCCTCTAATCCCTTCCCTTTCCAATTTTCCACATTCTCAAGTCAATCCCTCATTCCCAACAATTAATTGTACAAGTTAATCAATCAATGTAATTAGGGCATTTTCCATAATTAACATTTCAACCCCTCACGGTTTCATTTTCATCAATGTTTCAACATTTACTTCATTCCTTCATGCCAAACATGCATTTAGGTTTTATATAATTAAAACCCTAACTTTTGTAAATTTACACAAAAGCCCCAAACTTTCACAACATTACCAAACCAACCCCATCATCTCAAAATACTAAAATTTAAAGACAAAACCCATAGTGAGGAGTAGGTTATCCCTACCTCAAAAGATGACTCCCAACCAAGAAGGTGAAGAAGACGAAAATGCTCCAAACCACGAATTTCTCGGATCAAAAGATAGCCCTCAACGATCAACAACTTTTTTGTAACGGCCAAAGGTGAGGAAAACACCTTAGCTAGATCAATACTTAGAGAGAAGTTAAGGTTTTAGAGAGAGGAGCTCTCAAATGGCTTTTTCGGAAAAGTAAGAGAGAGAAAGAATGAGGAAAAGTGATTTAAAACTGCCCCACAGCCACCTGATATACGACATTCCCGCTCGAGCGGAAAACACAACGCTCGA